GGCGATTTCGAAAATGCTCATATGCGGCTAGACGACGTCAGATAGTATGTACTTATCGGGGATGGCCCCTGTTCCGGTGTACATTTTATTATGAAACTTTTTACGAGCATCGTATAAAAGTTCAAGACCATTTCGAGGGCTCGTATCGCTTTGGAGTCGGCGGGATCCTTTTTCTGCTTCCCGATTACCGGTCGCCGATCCCGGCAGCCCACGGCCCCCGAAACTTTAAAGATTCAACGAGCGCTTCTGAATCTTACAATATTAACCGAGCGCAGCCCGAAGCTTCGACCGGTGGATTCTCGATTTCCATTGGAAATTAAATACGGCCGGGCCACCGTTTCGTATACACAGCGATACCAACTCGATCGTAACACTTCCATCTGTTGGATTAAAAGATCGACCTCGTACCGCCTCCCAGCTACTTTCCCCGCCGAGCCGATACCAATCGTCAGAATTAATGCCTAGTTTTCTATGGATTAATATCGGCGAGGTTTCCACGTTATTGACGGTTAAATCTGCTCCTTGTACATTACCGAACGCGATTCAATATTCTGGAACTGATTTATTTATTTATTTACTGTTTTTTTTTTTTTTTTTGCTTTTTTTACAGCATCTCGGACTCTGCTGCGCTTCCTTCTCGCTCACATTGAATATTTTCGTACCTTGTGTTTTTATAAATTCAAAGAAATTAGCAATACTAGCGCAAGTTTGGTCGTTGAAACGGGAACGAGAAGAAGGTCAAATTATAAACATTTACAAGTGCATTTAAATAAATTTTTACGCAGGACTTCGATTATAAGACTAAGATTTTAAGACAAAAGTTGTCAATGTAACTGTATTTTACAAACAGAAATGTCATTCGTTCTGTCTTGAATCTACGAAGACAAATATATGAAAAAGAATACGTGTTGAAAACTTTCAGTTAATTAGAACCTTTATAACAGAAAGGATGCAGAATCAAGATACTTAAAAAAAAAAAAGAAGAAAAACGAATAGAAACGATAAAAATATTGTTATCTGTAACTCCGGCGTTCTTTTGATACCACGGCGGATTACGGTATAGACCGCTCGCTACGATATTTTCTTTATAACAAATATTTTCAAAGACTTTCTCTCCACTTGGTCGTTTTCTCCGATCTTTTTTACAAAACAATAAAAGCCTCCACAACTGGCGGTGTATCAGGGACGGGAGAGCGGGCTGGTTTCATTTAGTTGAGTTCTGAAGAAAGAAAGGGATCTCATTTCAAAGTACAAGCTCTTTACGCCTTTGGCTTTTCCGTCTTTGCAGCCGTAGGGAATCTTGCCAAGGATATGCATAATACTCGGAGGACTTTTCTAGAGGGGTTGAACGCTGTAGGGGCGTCCTTAAAATATAGAAATAGTTAAAGACTGATTAATATTTAACGGCCGCCGTCATGCACGTGCTAAAAAATCCTCCGGCAGTTTATCGCAATAAGTTTGCAGTTAATAAAGATGAAAAATATTGTCGCAAAAATCGCAGCTAATTACGTGGCGCGAAGCAAATTAAATTTCGCCGTAGAAAAAAATCCCTGGAAAGCTAATCGATAGGACAGATTTGTGGAATTCAAACAATATTTCTTAATACGTTCAACGGTACTTGCGACGTTTCGAAGATGGCGAAAGCCATCAGAGTTGAATATAAAAACGATCTTAGTATTAAAATTTGGGAATAGATAATACCGATATATATATATATATATATAATTGTAGTAATTTATCCGTTTTGTATTTAATTTCTTAGATTAGACAAAACAAAAATTCCGAAATGAAATAATTGTACCTAAATTCATTCCAATGATACCGGTTGAGAGTTAAAGCTATTTCCCTGCAAAAGAAGTGAGATTTATTACGTCCTTCTCTCTTGCAGCCCAGAGTTAGTTTAATGCGAACGAATAATAAATTAGAAATGACCAGTTCTACGGGACAAGTTACAAATCACACCGATATGAAGAATTAGATGCATTTTCGTTTCCTGGCCGCGAGAGGCCGGATTGTAATCGCGTATAAAATCGATCGTCCACGAAATGTGCTCTAATTATAAAAGCTGTAACTTCACGAGAGGGAGATCCGAGAACCAAATAACAGAATGTAGCATACCTAATCCGAATGGTCTGTGTTTAACGTTTGGCTGCGCAATTTGACGAAGAACGCGGCAAAGTGGCCGTGAAGGAAAACGATTTTGGGATCTAGCTACGCCAGCCCTATTATTCCAGCGATAATTTAAGGGCAAGAGGGTTGATATATAGGTAGCGAGTTTATGCAACGCCATTGTCTCGGGCGTACTGTTATTTATGGGAAGGTTTCATCTTCCAAAAACGGAAGGTGCGTGTTCCACGAGCCCCGTGACGCGAATAACAATCGGGCCCGGGCAGTAATTAAGGATTAGCGAGGTGATTAGCGAGCAAGCAGGTATTTAAATCTCCCTGAAACGATCTACCGAGCGAGTGTACGCCGCCTCCCGCTGAGTTTTCACTCAAACAACTGATTTTACACGTTCAACGCCCGCGTATGTACGATTTCAGAGAACCTTGAAACGATAACACACTCCACGTCACAATTCTTGCCAAACTAAAGTAGAACGGTCTCTTAGATTTCTCATCTAGTTAGGTTCTCCGAATGATCAGATGGATAAATGTATGCACGCATTGATTTTTTTAAACATACCGCTTGTACATACACAAGAATATTTAGAATACTTAAGAAAATTTAAGAAGTATTTAATTACTTTATATTTTGCATTTCTTGCATTATCAGAATGCATTTGTTATGCATTTCGTATGATAATTTGTATCAAATCATTCGAATTTTCGTCGTGCAATTTTGCTTCACGTTGTGAACTCAAAAACCAAGTACGAGTAATTTAATCCTAAATTGTCACCAACGGAGTGATTTTGAATTAATTGCCACGTGTAATTTTAGTGTTGCTCGATTCTTTCTTTATTTGTAAAAATAATATTCCGCTGTTCTGAAGATCCGCTTGAAAAGTAATGAAAACACTTGTTGCGAGTGTTTGACTCTAAACGAAGTAAAATTTGAAAAGAAACGCGAAAATACAAGAAACGTAATGTAATATGTGTAATGTATAATGTAATATATTACGCTTCTTGTTAGTGCCAGCATGATTATTTATTAGATCAATTAGCATATTATGAATAATTGAAAAGTTTCGCGATTTCATAAACGCGGTTAATTGATGACGAAGCTGAAACGTTATTCTGTCATACCATTCACGTACATCACGTGCTAATCTCGTAAATCCACGAGCTTAGACAGATTTTTTCCCCTCTCCTCTGCGAGCCAAAACGGAACGGACAAGCTTCTCAACCCGTTGACGATAACTGTGAATAAGAAACGCCACATCCTCTTATCGCCAATAGATGAACACCGCCACAGGCTAAGCGACATCGCATATTCATTCCGTTATAGGTCTAATCACAAATACAAGATCTACCGCAGAGATCTTGTTAATGTGGTAACGCGCACGTAGAAATTTCGATTGAGCGAGAAATTTCGATTGAAGCGATTCGAGGAAGCGAGACGTGAGAAAATCATTGGTCAGAGGTGTTATCCGTGTTAGAGACTGGAAATTATTTGAATTATCGAATTTTGAATTTTTCTTGTTTTTTTTTTTTCTGAAAAAGATACGAGAAAAGATTTTCAGTAGAACAGGAGATATATTAAATTTTTTTATTTATATATTAAATTTTTTTATGATACCAGTCTGTGGTTGAACATTCAGAAAGGAGGTTAAATAAATCGTATAACAGGCAGAAAAGTTATAGATAAATGTGTGTGTGTGTGGTCAATCTAGGATTGAAAAGGTTGAATAAATTTCGTAATATCTAAATTCCATCTATCCAACATTTGCAGTTTGTCGTCAGTATGTGATTTCAAATGTTAAAATAATTGATGCTCTAGATTCTCAATCTGAAATATGGAAAAATTCTGTCAAACATCAAGAAGTTGAAAACAAGTTTTCTTTCAAAAGACGAAGGTAATCGCAAAGATTAATAATTTTTCTTTCGCTTCCTTTTCGGTCATAAATATCAAGATTCCGCGATTAAAATATGATTTGCGCCTCCTACGAAAACTATCACTTCAGATAAACGTAAGTTTCAATCCATAGAGTTACGTAAGCGAAGTTCGAAACTTTGCGGGGAGTGAGCCTTATCTGCGATTAGAATTTAACTATAGCAATAGAGCTTTAGATGTATCTAAGGGACATTAGGCGACAAAAGTTGAATGCACATACCATTACCACGTAGAAAACGAATAAAACCGCACAGTTCCCCAGGGTGATATTTAAAAGTCGACGTCAATGCCGAAACTTTTCCCTGCCTTTTCACGCAATTCTTTTCTTGGGAACGTAATCCCAGGGGCGACTAACGTTGACGCTGACGTTGCTAAGCTTACGTAGAAAGTTCCGTAAGTACTTGTCTGTTTAAGTTATTATAGGATAAATGCTTGTCGCTTAACTTTAGTAAACCTTGAAGCAAAATTTACAATTTCTATCGGATAGATTTTTCTTTGGAACCTATCTTTTTAACATAATTTTCTTTGGAACCTATCTTTAAACATCGGATTAAATGTCGGGCGTAAACATGCAAATATTAATATTTTAATACTAAATCGCGTGAACATGATATAAATGATAACGTTTAATTTAATATTTAAATTTCGGATTGTATTTCCAAAAATTTCAAAACGTCCCCCAAAATAATAGCTAGATAGAGGAGAGCAAGCGGTAATAAGATCACGCGAGTGCGTTGTTAAATTTAGAAAGTTACTGAAAATGTGATTCAAAGATTTCCTCAGAAGAAAATTGATAAAACAAATCATTTTTTCAGCCAGTTCGTTCCCGTGGGATATAAATTATAATCCTCGCATCAAAATATACGGAATTAAATTATATTCATAGCGTCTACGTTAATATGTACTGCTGGTGTGGAAGAATCATGTTCGTTTCGTTTTATTTTCAGGTGTACACGGACTTAAGGATATATCTATCGATATTCCATTGGCCGTAGCAGCTGGCACCACCGTCAATATGAGCTGCGGATACGATCTAGAATCAGATACTTTATACGTAATGAAATGGTACTACAAGGGCTCTGAATTTTTTCGATTCGTTCCTAAAGAGATGCCACCGACAAGCACTTTCGGAGAATTGGGTAACAAGGTTATTGTAAGTATTCACGTCACGCGCGTTTATGAACATTCTGTCTTCATTTGCAAATTGCAAACTAGCAAAGGCCGTCTTCTATTCGTTCGATTACTCCAAGAATTGTTTATCAATTGTCAACTCCGTTTTTCTGCTTTAATAATAATAAGTTGGCAATATCTCGTTGCTTCTTCTTCCGCTGGAGATTCGAAAAAATTTTCCAAACGACGACCGATGGTAATTGGTTGTTTCGTTAATTAAAGTCGGTTTCAATACGGCAATTTTCGTGATTTCGTAATGGTAATCTATTCTCTGGATCTTCGCTACGCGGAGAATTGTCGCCGAGTTATTTCAAGCTGGAAACACTCTCAGAATTTCTTACTTATTAAAAGTTGGAAGGCGACCCTGTGCGAATCACGTTTTACATTCGCACCTGACGTGCAATCGTCGAGAACCGAGGAAACGGAAGTGAGTCTCACGGATTATATTTCTCCAAGTTTCGCTAAGCGTGAAAGTTTGTTAGTACCATTCATGTCCTACTTTATTATATAGTTGTACCTGACAAACTGCATATATACGGGCTTATGTATCACGTCCTTTAGGCAATTAAATAGATGCACGCTGAATATTTGCTTGGTATTTTTTATACCGTGAAATTGTCATCTCTTCAGTTCTGTGTTAACGAACATCCAATTATTTTAGGCAAGCCATTCTCTTGCTCGCACTGTTTAATTTGCAAAATTGTTCTTGCTCTACACAAATATCTTGCAGAACAATGCAATCGACGAGTTCGAACCGATAGTTCTAAGGAAATGCAGAAACATGGATTCCATTCTGTCGCATCGGCGATCGATGGAACGTTAAAATTTTCGTCAGTCGCATTCTAATTTGCTAAAAGCGTGCACAAACACTGGTGACCAAGCAAAATGTACCGTTACTACGACCGGCTGATCTGGAAGAAATCCTGATTAGTTGGAACTGTTCGAAGCTTCCTGGTGTAAACCATGTTCTTTTAGACAGTTTAATTAATCTAACGAAATCTTGGAACAATCCAAGCGAATTCCCTTATTGATCCTGCAACTTAAATATATTGAACCGGTGAAAAAGTTGCGCCATTGAAATTCTATTACTCACGGTCGCAATGAAATCATTACTTTAACGTCGCTTCACGATTAAACAGTTAAAGATAACTTGATTAATCCGAGAGTAAAACAGAAAGAAGAACTGACAAATTAAGGAAGATTCATAAAAGACACGGGCGTAATAATTATTGAAACAATATTTTAACTTCTTCTACGTAATAGTAGTATTTGATATCTTGAAAATTTTTAAGTAGATGAGAAGAAACTACAACTTTGAAAGTGCAATATAGTAAATCTTAAAACCGCTTCCAGTAGAAAGAAATATAGAAAATATTAATTTTTCACATCATTCTCCTCTTCTTTACATATTACGATTTTTCATCCGCGATAAACTTTCAGAGTAAAATAAAAGCGAAAGAAAAATTTTTCATTTCTCAGCTCTCATATAGAATAAATTCTCTTGGTTGAATCACTGGAGAATGGTTGAAAATTTTATCGTTCAAGTAAATCACGAAATCCGTGTGGTCACGTATCTGTTCTCTCTCTCTCTCTCTCTCTCTCTCAATGTTTCGTTCCCCCGTAAAAAAGTATAACGTTCCACGATCCCGTAGAACTATTTGCAAAATGTACATGTACGAGTGGCGCGGTACAAGGAAGAGTACACGGTGTTCGCGTGCAGCGCCGGAACGCGTACCAGAGAAAAGAAACGAGTGAACGCCACAAAATCAACGCTTCGATGCGTTAAAAATCTGTTAAAGGCTTTACGCGATGGCACGAATTCCGCGTACACGGAGTTACGTAGCCGATCGACCGGACGACCACCGGAACGCTCTCACACACGCAATGCTTTTCCAATTAAATTTTACCGGCGAAAGGTACGAACAACCCCTTGAACCGATAAATTGTAACTCACACTTACGATTGCTCTAGCAAGCGATATACTGTGCAACAAAAATTTCAATCCGATCCCCCCTCCCCCTTTCTTTTTTTGCACGAATATATATATATATATATATATATATATATATATATATATATATATATATATACGTTCGCCAGGAAACTTTGCTTTCGACAAAATTTATTTTGCAGCTCACGTACACCGAGCCCGTTTTTTACTATGTTGAATCCAATTTGATCTGTGATAATTTGCAGAATGAATTATTTGCGAAATTATTTTACAAAACTCCACGTTCAATCCCATAGAATTATTTGCGACTCGTATGTTGATTATACTTTGATAGACGAAATTAATCGATGTAATTCACGAAACTTCATTTATAAATTCCAAGGGAAGCTCAATTTTTAAACGAATGGTAATAATTAGGTTTATATAATAGAAACGTAATTAATAAGCAAACATTACGATAGTGAATAATTTACAAATCTCATGTATCAGGATATAATATGAAGCGTTAAAATTATACTGTATAAAAAGAGGTATTGTGGATGAAACGATCTCATTTTACAATCTTATTAACTTCTACAACTAATTTTTATAACCTGTTTACTTGCCTATACTGCAAGTTTAATATAATAACATGTAGTTAAAGCGAGGGAAAAAAACGTTTAAAAGCAATAATAAAAATAACGAAAATTTATCAGTAGGCTAGATGTAACATTAACCTCTGCTTTGCAATATTCTTTTACTCGGTCAATGGGTATTTGATTGCAATGAATATTTTTCTTTTTAACCTCCTTCTATGTCTACCGCTGAATAGCGTCCTTAGTCTTACATGTTCTGCCAAAAGATTCTGGCCACCTTTGATCCAGGAGAGAGGAAATAAGTTAGTAATATCGACTTTCATGGTCTAGCCTGATCAAAAATTGCTTTAGCGTAGCAAACGATTGACTTTAGGCAAAAGTCGTGTTCTCGAAAGAACCTCGGTGGAATAACATTAAAATATTTCTCTTATGGTTTATACACAAATTCATATTGTTTGAAAGTTTCTTAGTGCTGCATGAACTTTCTAAAACTCATTTGTAGCGTGTTAGTGTACCATCTCGAGATGAACATCTTGCAGCAAACTAAACGCTAGAACCTGTTTAACAACATCTTCTTCCAGATGTTTCCGTCTTTATCTTAAAAAAATTCGTGCTGCATTCAACTCTATGTTCCCTGGAACTTTTACTTTCGAGTAAACATCGGATTCTAATGTAACACATCGTCTGGTCCATAAAATACGCGTAATAAAACGTGGAATGATGATCGTCATTGTAGTAATAACAACACTATAGCAATATCTTATTTGAGATAAAATTAGTAAAAAGAAATTATCTAAAATATTCGGTATTTCTTTGATGCGTCACAAAGTAGATATTTCAACGAAATCCAACTTCAAATTGCATTTAAATAGAAGCAAAGAGGAACGCAATTACGTTCAATCATTCAGGACCAGGATACATTTTTCATCACCACGCACCAGCACGCATTCACGTAAATTTATTGGTCATTATATAATTTGTCGCATCCTAAAGAAGTACGTCGCAAGTATAACTATACACGCAGAGTGCAGAATACAGGACATAGAACAAAAGGAATAGAACGTACAGAAGGAGTGAAGACAGACACTAGCACTCGGTACCTCGCAAACGGTAACATTATTAAAATTATCAGTCAGCCAGGATGAATTTATGCGTGGTGGCCGGCAGCGAATTGTCGAATCGATACAAGCCAGAGCGAGGCATGGTGTGAAATTGTATGTACAATGTATCGTCGGTAACCGGTGCGTGACTGCACGTCGATCGAGCACAGCCGATCGATCCCTACTTATTTCCAAGCGAAACGTTCCATCCGTGATTCCGTTTTTCTACTTCTCCGCGTAATTCGTCCGACACATGAACAATACCTCGGCGATGTTATATTTTCCGAGAGCGTACGAAAATTATACACCCGATTCGTGCGTACGCCGAGAAAACAGAACGGTATATAGTATTCTTACGAACCAGCCGGCCATACTTAACCCCCCGAGCGAATTCAGCCTTGTTATTTTACGCGAAAATTGCTTCCCCGCATTTTTCACGCGTCTACAAGAATTGAAATGGTACTCTAGAGCCGCATTAGACGTGACATCGGAATGTTGGAAAATCGAAAAAATTACATTAAAGATTGCATTTCTAACAATCGAGTTTTTAAAACGAGGACAAGAAGATTTGAAGATTTTGAAGGTTTCTCCTATTTAGAATCATGGACAGAATTATATTAACTAGAAAATTGCACGGCAAACATTATAATATTGTAGATTCGTTCACGTATTTCGAGTTTACTCTAAATTTAATACAATCGACTTCGAATATTTGCGAGAATTTCAAAATTTTGCGATGAAAACAATTTGCGTGAAATTTAGATGGCAAATACGTAGGTCTGCTTCATGTGCCAAATATTACAACGAGCGAATACTTTGAATATTTCATACATTTTTGCATATCATATGCATTCGACGCATTTTCACACCCTCCATAAATATATAAAAATCCGTGGCAATAATACGCCACATTGGAATATCACCCAACCAAGAAATACCAAAATGAAAAACCAAGTAAAAATTGTAACCAAAATCAATAGCCGGATCTGCGTTCTTCAAACGCTCATCCACATGTTTAATAGTCTATTAAAATACCGCGAAACGTAAAAGTGCCGTAAGAAATTGAATATCGATACTCCTTGCATTTTTACAAAATTAAAAAATTCCACGGCTCGATCTCGGGCCCGTGCGTCGAAGAACGAAGGGTAAAACTTTTTAAAATCATCGTACACATTCGACGAGTGTACGCCCAATTGGCAAGTTAGATCATGAGAGTGTTCACACCACTCGACGAAAATTGATTGTGTGATTTATATGCTGCCACTGGCAACATGTAATTAATCGTTGTTGTGAGGCTTTGTTTGTCACGAACGGGCGAATGTGCGAGGATGTCAAAGGGAGCGAGTAAGTGCGATCGATTTGCAATAAATGGTACACGCTCGGTTCGCGCAGTTTCAGACCTTCCTATGATCATCGACGCTGAATTGACTCGAACTGCCATCGAGTCGCGGCGACATGAACCGGACGCTCCGCATCGCGGATGTTTTTCAACTTTTAATTTAATTACGTCGTTTCGAATTCGATTACGGTGACGTTTGCAGAAAAATATGCGTTTACCTTTATCGTGCGCCTATCGATACTCGAATTTTACTGAAATAAGCTGTGCCGACATAAAATATTATCCTACGTAACAGATAGATGCACAAAACATTTCAAGATTTACATTTAATTGAAATTAATCGAACGAATGGAAAATCATTGTTACTTGTTGTTGTATTCCGATGGAAACATATTTGCAAGAGTGTACAAAACGAAATGTACTTTATTTTAGAGAATTTTTTTTTCTTAATTATTACGTTTTTCCTTTAACTTCACTTACAATTAGTAAGTTTCCTGTTTCAGGTGTGATTAATAAATTTTTACTGTTACTTTTCAGCTAAATAAAAGTGATGCTCATCGCGTAGTTTTAAGGGACTTACAGCCAAACTATACCGGAAAATATCTCTGCGAGGTTTCTGGCGATTCTCCATCGTTTACTACTTTGGTGGACGTTGGTTACATGCATGTGGCTAGTAAGTATCGCAATTTTAATTATTTTAATTATTGCCCGCATAATTTCACGGTTGTTATTCTCTGTCATTACTTGAATAGAATGAATATTAGTTCAGATTTTGTCTGATCAAAACGCAATTTGTCCAAATATAGTATTTTGTTTATAATGCGTGCAAGTTAGTTTGACATTAGCATAAATTATTCCTTTTGCAAAGTAGTATATGCAAACTACAATATGCGATATTTTCATTCTTCATTGGTATGCAAACCGGTAATTATTAAGTCATTTCGCGAACAAAAATCTATTCACACTAGGGCTGCGAAAAGGCATTAACAACTTCCGATATCTGCGTATCTGCTTACGCGTGATATAAATAATGCAGCCACAGGGGATAATTTGTTCGTACGGAACATCAAGAAATTGTATAACACCGTAACATTAGCGCTCGTTTAATATTCCTAAAAAATCTGTGAAATGAAGTTCTCCTTAGGATACGAATTATATACATAAATCATCGTTTCCTAGGGGTTAAGATAGTCAGACCATTAAGCATTTCTTGCTCGTTTACCAACTTTTATTTCCTTGCCTATTCTATTTCAGAGTTAGCTAAATAAATTAGTCTATCAATGGTAAATAAATTACAATTTCCTTATTACGAGGATCACAGTTAACATACGAGAGAGAATCACTTTTCCTGTCCATCGTTCATTCATTCGACAAACACGCCATTTCACAAATATATCAATAGCAGTACCAAATCAAAATTATTAAAACAGAGACAACGACTCTTAATTGAAAGAAAAAAAAAAAAAAAAAAAAAAAAAAAAAAACAGAAAACAAAACGCTCGAACGAGAGGATAGAGATCACGGTCGGTCTCATTAAATCACCGAACACGCTTCTTTCGTTTCATCATCCATCCTTCGCGGCTCTCTTAACCGAGTTACTGTTAATTAACAGCTCACAATCAGACCCGATAAACACAATCTTTCTTCCTTTCAATACCATTTCACCTAGTTCCCCGCGGATTGACCTTTTGATATGCACTATTAACTTCCAATTGAAAACACTGAATGAACACTCGAATATCAGTAATAAATCGGGAACCGGATCGCGACTCATTATTTTTTCCATTGATTCACACTACGCGTCTTCAGCCGGCATCGCTGTTACTCTTCATTATGGCCCGTTGATTACTTCCTACGCGATGAACAGCATTGTCGTGGCAATCGCGTGGCCAATTAAAACGTAATTCGAAGGGACAGAGTGACGAAATTAAACACGGTGAAAGAAATGGAAGGAGAAGAGGGGAAAGGAACGACGGAGAATAGACAAGCAGGTAGAGGACAGAATATCGAGGTCCCGTTCCCACCGTCTCGTATTCTCGTTGAACGTCGACTTAACGACGCCACAACCACGATAGCGATTCTTCTTTGAAGAGACGAGGTGATTGCCTCTCCTTTCCGATCACGGATCGCTCGTAAAAGCTCGATACTAGATCGAGCCTTCGAATCTCGCCTTGTATCCCTCGGACGCTCTCTTGCTTTTCTTCCTTTTCTCCATTCTCACGAGACGGGATGATCGTCCCGCATCCACGACATTACCAAACAAGTTCAAAATGGTAATCTTCGGCGATCGTGTCCTTGAGAGCGTGTGTAGAAAGAAGATCGCGGGACACAAAACCGGCTATTAGGCGGAAGTCATTCAGCCCAGAAGTGAGACAATTCTTTGACAGTTCGCTACCGCTACGAGGAAATTGACTGCCTTCTGTGGACGGCATAATGATCCCCCGAGATGTACATGACGTGTTATGTATACGGAATATCTTGCCGGTAGGATAGCATGGCGAAAAAGTGGCGTTCACCTCATCTAACAATGGCGCGTCGGCAGGTGCCTACGTTCTTGAAATTTATAAGGACGGTGATAAATCAAATTGAACGACGTGCTATCGGGCGACGGTCGGGTAATACATTATGGTATTAATAATGAACAACGTCGTGTTGGCGAAAGATAGTAAAAGCACGATGATTATTCGAAATAAAATTAAATCATGATGACCAGTTTTTTTTTTCTCTGTTTCTAGTTGAAGCTCTTAGAAACTTGTCAGTTTCTTTTTTTTTTATAATTTCTGAGAGTTTAATATAGTTTTTAACAACGTTAAATAAACAACGTTAATATTTTAACGACGCTAGAATTCTATCGTCTCGATATAAGAAATAATTATAAATTATTTCAATGGAAATGTTTTCACGTTTTCAACAAAATTTAACAAAATGTAGAAAAAAATGCATGCAACATATGAATGTTCAAATAAAAATGAATTACCGTACACGACGAGTCGAAATCTTCCTCTGTTATTAAAAACTTCAATGAATTACAGATCTCCCGAAAGGCGATCCTCAAGTAAGATTCGAGAAGATACGCTATGCTGTAGGAGATACTGTGCGTGGAAACTGCACTGTTCCATCGGGAAATCCTCCAGCAAATGTGACATGGACTGTCAATGGGATACCGGTAGGTTGATTGATGTAAAAACTTTCAAGACTTGTTTGACGCGCCTGATAAGTTGTCATTGTAACTTCGAGCAATAAGTCACTGCTTTTGTCTGCTGTATTTCATTCTCCTAGAAAAATTACTTTTCGATAGAAAAGAATTGACTTCAAAACAACAAATCATAAAATTGTAAATTAAAAAAAAAAGACTAATTAAAGAATACTGTTAAAAATGTAAGTATACGCATACGGGTATCAATACAAAGACATTGCACGTATCTTTAATTTATTCGTAAATTTTTATAAATTTATGATACGTCAACAATTACTGAAAAGCAAAAAAGAAACTCCAATTTTTAATTGCAACTTGCATAAATAAATGATGATAATCTAAATAATTTGGAAATTTTATGTATCAAAATTATAAAGTTTGATAGAGCATTTCTCTTTTTTTTCAATTTATATACATATGTAACAAAGACTTATTAAATTGATCTAAGATCTTGGAATATTAAAGTAAAAAGCAAAATATTAATATATTAAAATAACAGTAAGAAACATGCCGTGAAAATATACAAAACATGATTGATTCGCGTATACAACGACACGATACCGTTATACGTGCAGAACAAAGCTGTTCAGGAAATTATGCTTGTTTCGACTACCGCCCAACTACAACCAACTTCATTTAACCCTGGCTCTCATTTCGAAGCAAGCTAGCAATCTGAAACGGTTTATGGATTTCCTAACAATCTGATAAACACTATAATTGTGGCTAAATACATCACAATTTATTTATGGTTCTTTAGAAAGAAGTATCTTGGTTGAGAAATAGGAAGTACTTGCTGCCTATGGTATTATACTTTATCCTGTTCATTCTTTCCTTCGTTCATCCCTCAACAATAAAGTATACATGTATATTTTATTCATATTAATTTTACAATATTCTAAACTAAGAATCTTTGTTAATGCAAACAAGAAATAGAAAATCTGAAGCAAAATGAAAATTATCTATCTATACATGTGTTACAAAGAAATTTTTTGTTTCAGGTGAATTCCAGTTTCATAATGAACGTAACGGACAAACTCGGTGACAATCAGCAACTAATGTCTATCGCAGGGCTGGATTTCGAGATTATACCAGACAGTTTTAACAATGGAAGATTACATATTGTTTGCAATGCTAACGTATTTCATTTGTATAAAAAACAAGCTGATGTTAGTTTGATGGAGGAACGGCCACGTTTAGCATCTGTCCTAGGAACTCGGGAATCTTCTTACATTGGTATATCTTACAGATCTATTTACACGTGTTCACCGATGATGCTTATTTTCTCAATTTGTTTTGCAATTAATACTATTTAAGATCCTTAAGGTCTTTCTACAATTCTTTTTATGAAAAGATCTTTCTAGGCATATTGTATCAATTGTGTAATTAAAAGTAACTCTAAAATAGAGAAAAAAATTTCTCGAACGTTTTAATTTCTTTCATTTTTATTCAACATGCGCGAAGTAAATACGAATTTTTGAGAAATGTAAGTATTCACCCGTTATCAGCATAAAACAACGCTAGTACATTTTTCTTAAATATATTTTTAAGGATTTTATAAAAAATGAAATTAAATAATGGCTATGCTTTTCTGTTTCGATTCTTAACGTGAAAATAAAAATGTTCTTTTAAAATATAGAATGTTCATTGTTTATAGATGTATACTAATTTGAAATAACTTAATGAATGCAAAAACCTAAGTAGAAAGATGAATATGTATTTACATAATTCCCTTTTCCATTATCCTATTTAAGTAACTCAATTCTCTAATTAATCATGGAATCTTCAAAAAGTATTAATGAAATAAATACTTTAATAAAAGATAACATAAAATGCATATTGAACGTGAAAACTAATTTCATCAAAAACTGTAGATATATTTCTTCTTTCTGAAGATTTATTATAAATCTTCATATAATAAGAAGATTATGTTAAATATTCTAATTGAAAATCTGCATAATAAAACAGAAAAAGTGAATAATGAAACATTAGCATACAATGTAAAAAGATAACTAATTACATGTTGATAAAGTCAAGGTAATAATCAACTTAATATGCTAATCCCTATCCAATCCATATAGTGTAGTAATCAAACTATAATCGCAGTAATAATTGAGAATATACATTTATAATTGAAATTAGCATAAAATGTAAAATGACTACAATCAGAAGACTTTTTCCTTATTCAATTTTATTGAAGCTACTATAAACGATAGCAAAAACATTACAATATCAAACCGTATGTCGTAAAAGATTATCTAAAAAAAACTACGTCTCGTGTATACCATTTTTTAAACATTTTCCTAAATTATTTTTAAATAACTGTTGTCATTTTTTTTTTTTTTTTTGTACAACATAATTTACTATGTGTAAATCTTAAATTTCAAATATCTGTGTATCTAAAATTTTCTTATACATAGAAATACAATATACATGTAATATTTTGAAATATCGTGTGATATCGAGAGACTATCGAATGCAAAACAAAAATTTTTCTATCTATTAAACAATAAGATTATATAGTATCTAATTGTTTCTTTCTATATATATCCTATATTTTTATAAATTCGTATTTGTTTCAGGGGGTGCAGCGATACAGATTAAGGAATGGTTTTTAGATGCCGCGGTCACGCTGTTGCTATGCAGTTTCAGATAACAACGATGAACCTGTTAATCATCCTATACGTATATGACTGTATCGAAATGGAGAGGGCAAATTGTTTGTAAAATTTTGAAATTATTAAGTGCGACGAAGGAAGAGCGAGAAGAATTTTTCGTTAACATAAATATCGACCGTATGTTATTCGTGTAAATAGGATAAAAATTTAGCTAATTATCTACATGTAATTGCGACCTGCGCTGTCTCGTTGCAACGAGATGAATTTATAACCTGAATAACATGTCATAATATTACATATTAGATCGACAATGTGTCGCGCCAAAGTGTTCGAGAATTTATTTCAATACTATTATACCATGTTTTCTATCCTCTGACAATGATTTTGATACCTCTTCCGTAAAACATTCCATAAAACATAGCTACCAGAATGTATCATCTCACGTTTCTAGACAAAAACTGTTATTGTTTGTGAATAAAGTTTTACTTAAGTGAAAAACAAATAAAAAATTCACCTTCGTTACTTTCGTCTTTCTTTTCCCTAAAATTTCTCATCCACCCTTCCTGATCAATTAAGATACTTTTTCTACCATTATACAATGTAACAGCTTATACTTTAAATATACAGAATCATTGCTTCTATTGCAGTAATTGTAGAATTTTCTGACAATTTATTAAAAAAGTGTATATAGGCATGAAACAAGCTGGAGTATCAATAAATTAAAAAAACAAATTTACACGAAATAAATATCTCTAAACAATACTTAAAACACCTTATTACTATCAAATCTAATTTTCCTTTAAAACTTGAAATAATTATTATCGTGACTTAACAAGAGTACAATGTTATTTAATCATAGTACCAATACAAATTTGTACAAATAAAAAAACGAATTACTTAAAAACATCTGTTGATGTTTTAGAGACGTTCTGCATCATCTTTGGGCATTTGATTTTGAAGTTTCATTTCTATTACGTCCATTGTCGCATCTCTAACTTTACTTTTCTCAAGACCCAGTTGCTGAATCTTTTCCATTTGCTCGGTAACATAAGCCACTCTTCGATCAAAGTAATCCTTTGCATCAGGAACCTTTTTTTGAGCATAATAACCAGTTCCAATATCAATTAGAACATTATTAGTGTCTACTAGTTTTCCAACCACGTACATGGATCCAGTTAATGGCACGAGAATTTCATTACCTAAAATAAATTCAAAGATACTATTAAAATAGGTTAAACATTCTTACATTTTTTAACCTCAAATGCAGTAATAAAATTCAGAGAGATTCTTTATACTAGACTTTACACAAGAGAATATTAATTAAACATTACCCTCCATGGATGGAGTAATCTTCTCGAGACATGATCCTGACTCCTGAAATTTACTTTGAGCAATTTTTAATGTCTGCAACGAATCTTGGAAAATACTGAGTTCTTGGTCCAATTGTTGCCTCAACACTGTGAGTTGCTGGAGATTTAAAGTTGTTAAATCCACCTTTCGCAAATTCGGTGTTTCTGTCATCGAAACTTCTGACATTTTAAATTATTTATTATAAAAATCAAACACAATCAAACGATCGACGCACAGACTTCAGTCGTATAACCAAAAACGGTCAACACCGGAGTCAAACACATAACTGCGTTATGTACCGAGTGTTCACTAGATGGCGAAATAATCTACATCCAGTATTATTCATTTCCGAAAGACTTTACTAGATGGCGAAACTTCTATATTTGAAATGATAAAACTGCTTAAATTATTAAAATTGAATTTGACTAAAAATAAAATATATATGATCATTTTATCTATAACTAAAGACATTAGTCAATGATTATATGAAATTTTATGTCTTGAGTTTTTGAAAAAAGATTAGTTTGCTTCTTGCGCCCTCTACCATTTAGTTTGAAAGTTATGACATCAAAGTATTCAACGCGGAGTCATAGACGAGGTATATTTTTATTCTTCTGAAAGAATTTCTCATGAATTTTGTGTATTTGATTTAGGCCAGATTTTTTTTTATTTTAAACCCCTACTTAACATTTATGCAACATTATATGCAATACACAACATTATATGCAATCCTACGATTCTCGAACCCAAATCGATATTTCTCACGATCGATTATTAGGTGGTAAGAATGGCGGAAGGAAGCACACGTCTGTAAAGAATAATCATTCAGAAAAAAGTATCATCGAGAAATTCTCAGGTAAAAATTTAAATCAATAGTTAGATTTGCGTTTGTAAATTTTTAAGGTAAAATATACGTTTTTAGCTTCAACTTAAGGTAAGATTTAACCAAATAATTATTACATATAATTTTCAACAATTAAAGAAATAATAACATATAATGAATAATAGCATATAAACTTTTAAACAAAACATGCTATGCTAAAAGTTATTCATAATTTTATACCAAAATTTAATTTCAATTCTAACCTAATGATTCAATTCTAATCTAATATAATAAATATTGTGATATGACTGTAATATGACTATCTTCTTATTATTGTATACATATTATGCTTTTACTTCTATTGTAACATTTTCTACTCTAACCTAAATCCATACTACGTAATTCTTAACGATTTCAATACTAAATTCAACAAGAACTTATTAACAACAATAATATATTAAAGATGTAAGTATTTAATGGCTAAAATAATAAATCTATTGCATGATATAATAAAATTTCTCATGTCTCAGTATTAACAATTTTTCATCAGCTGTGTGAAATTTTCGTTCTTTTTAAAGAATTTCTCATGAATTTTGTGTATTTGATTTACATCAGAACTTTTTATTTTTTATTCCAAGTGTGGAACGCGCGATTGCAGCGCCCCAACGGTAAAATACGCAATATACTTCCTACGATTCTTGAACCTCGAATCGATATTTCTCATAATCGATTTTAACCGGGCAACATGGCGGTAAGGATCACGCGTCATCTCTAAAGAAGGAAGCATTATTCAGAAAAATCACCAGAAAGAATTATTATCAAAAAATTCTCAGGTAAAGATATAAATCAATAGTTGTTCGATTTCTGTATGTATTGTATATGTATTAGTTTTAAAATAAAACGTGCATTTTTGGCTTCAATTTAAGGTAAGATTTAACCAAATTATTACATATAATTTTCAACAATTAAAGAAATAATCGCATATAAACATTTAAACAGAACATACTATGCTAAAAGTTATTTATAATTTTGTGCCGAAATTTAATTTTAATTCTAATCAGTAAAAATATTGTAATCTTGTAATTTATTAACTCATTATATATATACATATATATATATATACACACACACATGTATTTCATTATATGTTTTTACACACATACTTCTATTACATTTTCTACTTATTTATTGATTGTTTAACTTCATACTACATATTCTAATACATATTCTAATAATTCTAATACTAAATTCAACAATAATTCATTAAGAATGCATGTATTTAATAGTTAAAATAACAATCTTATTGCAAATATAATAAAATTTTCCATTTTTCAAATAAATAAGGCGTAAAAAACCTTGAGGCTCGAAATTCATAGTTTAAAACACATAAACGTACGTAAGGTTTTTAATATTGCAACTATTTTTTCGGTGTCGCAAATAAACGCTTCTGACTAAACGTGTCGAGAATGTTTATATTCGTCTTATCGTGCCTGTTCGTTCAAGTTCACCCCATCCCCTACTATTTCCTCAATTACTAGACGAGACGGGTTACGGAAAGTCATTCGGCTCTCGAATTTTGTGACAACAACACGTATTACGTCGCGTTACGTTCGTAATCTTTTCTAACCATCGGTAGCGTCTCTTCGATAGCGTCGCTTCTTCGACACTCTCTTACTTCCATTTATATCTCATTAATAGTATATTTGATTAATACACGTACATTTAACGATTAATCGACCATCACGGTAATGAAATCATGTAATACTTTGAAACTTTTCGCGTCGAGTTTTCTTCAATCGTCGATTTCACTCGTACGGTTACCGGTAGCTTATCTCGTACATTTCTTTAGTAGAATTCGAGATGATTATTGTTTCATTTTTACACATATGCCTTTATTCAACGAATTTGTACTAACTTTTAGTTTCTTTTTGTGCAGGTTATTGATTCCTTGAGATAGGATAGAACACAAAGACACCACGATTATTAATGGACAATCTGATATTCTTCCACGGAAATTTGGTAACATTTCATTTATTTTGAAAGTATACACAAACGATTGTGCGTAATTAAACAATTCAAAGCAAGATTTCACTACTCTAATAATGAACATTCAGAATACAATACTCGTCTTTTATTTACAGTATTCAGTATCGAGATATATTTTATAATTTACAACTAATATCTTCAATATATATTCAAGTTTCTTTACAATCATGTGGAAAAATAGTAGTATTTTCTAAATAAACTTATCCTTCGCCTTCCTCGAACTAATCAGCTTTATTTTCAGAAAATTTTAATGACCGCGTGCAATGCGATTGGTAGAGTCAGTGTTTGTTGCGAAATATTTTTATATTTTTCTAAGCAAAATGGCTCTCATTAAATTAAATAATCAATTCATTCAAATTCGCGAAATTAGAGTCAGTGAGTTCGTCGATTGTTACTTAAACACACATTGATAGTCTTTTATTTTTCTTTTTTCATATTTTTTCTTGTTCAACATTCGTTTTCGGTATTAGAATCAGTGCTCAAGAGGATGAGGCCTCTTCAGGAGATCAAGATCGTAAGTAGCTTTATATGTTGTACCTCAATTTATTCAATTTTTCAAGTTTGACAATAATGTATAATGTTGATGTTTTGTTACAGATCTTCTACAGTCTCTACTTCTCCTAATCCTTCAAGAATCATATGATGCTTCAAAAGCTAAAAATGTAAGTACTTCAGCACGTTGTATTTAAATTTTATTCTCTATAGATTTCTTTCTGCTGAAATCGAATACAAAATTATAATAATAATATAAAAGCACTTAAAATTATTAGTTCCAATTTTTATCATTATTAAAATTTAAATTTTCACAAATAATATTGTATTTTTAAAAATATTTTATGTTTTTTAAGAAACGGCGTTCATCATGGAATTCTCAGTGGTATTTACTTGATGAGAGTCTTCACGATAACTTTCTCCGCTCCAATACAGCATCGACAACGTTCTTCTTCGCGCATCTATCGCGTGAGTCGCATGCATTTATGTTCCTCTGGTCACTCAATCATGTCGTAGGACGAAAGGTCCGAATCGGCACGGATGACTGGTTGTATACGTAGAATTTTTGATGAGCATAGTGACCACGGATATTTTTCATATCCGTGAATAGTAACATTATTTTTATTTTCTTTATGTATTAGATCAGGATAGGACTTCTTGCACATCGTGATTTTAACATTTAATTTGAATATATACAGTTATAGTAATTACTTGCAAAATCAAAATATATTCAATATAAACGTTTGCAAAAGCAAAATATCCATATAAATATCCATATGAATATATAGATTATAAATAATTATTATTAAAATGATTTTGTTTGAGCATTTCGTAGCAGAAAAGACGGATATTCTCCGACTTCGTTGCTATAAAAGATGCAGTTATTACTTATTAATAGATTGGTAATATATTTTGTTATAGTAATTAATAATTAATAATTTCTAACTTCATCTTCTCTTTTATAACTTCTTATATTAAATGATTTAATTAATTTAATTTTATAATTATGAACTTCAATGCAATTTGAAATATATAATAGATTAGAATTCTTTCCGTAGAAAAATATATGAAATTTTATGTGTAAGAAGTTACTTCGCGACAGGTAGATTTCTGAATCAAGGCAACAAGATTAAACACTGCTTTCGTATTTTCGAAAATATGCTTTGATGAAGAAAACGCCTGAGATTGTTTCTATTAATATTTAATTTAGAGTCAATTGTTTGATTTTGATTGTTTCATTCAATTGTTAGATTTCATATCTTTTTTAATAAATTTAATTCTTTGGTTTTATTCTCTTTATTCTCTTGCAATTTCAATAATTTCTGAAAGCTCAGAATTATTACAGTTTGAAATAAAATAATGCAATAGTCCGTTAGATACAAATTACATAAACTAATTATTTTTTTAGTTCAGGATTTTCAGGTTTAACCCCTTCCGTGTTCATTGTCAGGATCTCACTCACGTGCCCAGGTGCTACTTGGGTGGGTGAAAGACATTGGGCACGATGACCATAGTTTGTAATTTTATAAAAAATTTCTCAGCGACTGACAGTGTGTTAGCGTATCGTGCACGACGTATTTTCCGCATATGTATGTGTGGTTAGGATGTGGAATTGCGTCGTTTTTATTCTTCCATTCATTATAAGTTGAAATATCGAAAACATTTATGCGCTGATTTGAAGTATGAATTTATTGTATAATAATACTCATTAAATACTCTACAATTATGTTATTAATTATACGATCAGTTATAATAATGATTCCAAGTCAAATTGCACATGTAGTTTCTATAGAAATTATATATGTAAGTTATTAATATTAGTTGTAAATATAAAGGTGTTTTAATCACGTTATACGCAATGGTCGCTAGCTGCTGTCAGTCGATTTCAGGAAAATGGTACGTAAATTAGAGTGTGAAAGTTGTGTGTTAAGCTC